GTTCTTCAGAACTAGAAGTTTTGCTAATTTACTTTTAGTAATTTAATTACAAATAGCAGCCCCTCAAAAACCACTCAGGAACGACTATTTAACAAGATTGAAGAGGGCTGAGAAGTGGCTCAGCAGGTGAAGCTCTCAGTGTGCAAGCATGAGGAGATGAGTCTGGATCTCCAGCACCCACACAAAAATCTGAGTGTGCTGTGTGCCTGTATTCCCAGTGCTGGAAGACAGAGACAGCGAGACTCTAGGGGCTTGTTGGTTAGCCAGTCTAGCCAATGAATGAGTGCCAGGGTCAGTGAGAGGCAGTCTCTTAAAGAAATAAGGCGCAGGTCAATGAGATGGCTCAGTGGGAAAAGCACTTGCTGCCAAGCCCACCGACCCGAGTTCGATCCTTGGGACCCACATGATGGAAGAAAAGAACTGACTTTCACAGGTTGTTCAGTGACCTCTACTGGTGTGTACACACAATATATAAAATGCAATACAAATATTGAAGTGGGCAGCAGAGGAAGGTACCCAACATCAACCTCTGGCTTTCACAAATGCATAGATGCACTCACCTTTGCTCCTGGCACACACATGTGTACCTACACAGACATGCTTGCACACACACACACACACACACACACACAAACACACACACACATCATTTTAAGAAGTAACTTAGTCCTTTTGGCAGTCAAAAAGCAAGGCTTTTATCAGATGTTAGAGAAAACCTATGAAGGGTCTTCCATGGTCACTCACTAATTTCTAAAGTCTCTGTCTCTTAATTTTAGGTCAGGAATGTTGAGTTACTCATATAGAAGAAGAACATTTCTCCTACTGAGAAAGCTGCCCATGCTTCTTCTGTTATGATGCATTATTTTTCTGTAATACCTTCACACCTATTGAGACAAAGGTCAAAGTGATCCGGAAACCCATAGACAACTCCCAAGGAATTTAATTTAGAATTTATTTTAAAGTTAAAAATATGCTAAGAAATATAAATGCTTCATATAAGCAAACATGTTCATCTCAGTGTTTTATTTATTTATTTTTTGACATCTCTGAACTCCTAAACTGGAGGGATAGTCATGGAGGCATTGCTATTGTGATGGTCACTGAATGTTTTAATTATTATACCCTTCCCAGTTCAGATTTGCAAAGTTAAGTGCACAGGAAGAGAAGATGTAGTTGGGAGACAAGCAAGTCTGTTTTCCAGTGATTTTAATGATGAACTTCCTCCTAGTCCCCATCATTAGCCTCATCATGCCGCTGGAAGATAAGAACAGGGTAGGGAATCTGGGGATCGGGGGATGGGAAAACATGGAATCACAAGGTATTCGTTTGTGGTTGGTTTGTCTGAATCAGTGTGCTATAGGTAAAATGACAAAGACTGTTTCTGTCTGTAGGGACAGCTCACAGTGGGAGGATACAATAAATGAACAATGTGTAAGTTCTCTCCTCCAACAGGAGAAAGTAGATCAATCTCACCAGCATGGTGGCCAGGAGCAGGTATCCAGAAGCAGCAAAGGGAAGAGTGCCTAGGAATTGTCTAAAAGATAGGATGTGTGACCTGTACGGAAAAAGGGGAGAACGGCGGGTACAATGGTTCCTTGGGGTGGAAAAGGAAGTACTTGCTGAACATCAAGAAGGTTTGCTTAAAACATGGACATGGGAAGGAGAAAGCTGAAGAAGGTGTCAGGGTCAGCTCAAGGGTAAACATGGACAACTGAGCTAAGACTTGTAAGGATTTTATGTCAGGATAATGAAAATATTGTCCTAACTTATTTTCTGCTGCTACTGTGTGTGAAAAATGGGTGTAAGCACTTTATGTGAATTAAATTCACTCAACTCTCATAAGAATGTGACAGAGATAAATATTACCATTTCTGTTACTTTATAGATTAGGAAATGGACACGGTAGAGGTTAAAGGATTGCATGTCTGTGGGACACTGTCTTGACTGTCAATTGATGTAGGAGGTTCCAGTCTACTGTGGGCAGCGCCATTCCCTAGGCAGGTAATCCTGGGCTGTATAAAAAGGCTAGGTAAGCATGAGCCTATGAATGAGGCAGCAAGCAGCCTTATCCATGGTTTCTGCTTTAAGTTTCTCCTTAAGTCTCTGTGATCTGGAAGTGTGAGCCAAATAAATCCTCCTCCCAAGTTACTTTTGGTGGTGTTATTTGTCATAGCAACAGAGAGAAAACTGGACAGACATCTAGGACCCTTTGTAGACTCTGGTGGCTTGACAAATACACTAATCCTTCTGACTTGTGTATTTGACACTTGGAAGGGCTTGACTTGTGACCCTGACACCTAGTCTATTTAATAAAACCATATTTGGTGATAATTCTATGGTCGAGCAAATGAAAGTAGCTATAAAAGAAATATGAATAGTGAAAGATTTCCTATGTACAATCTTACTTGATAAATTAATTAAAAAGATAAGGAGTCTTAGCATCGTAATCTAAATTTCATATTTGTATTTTTTGGGGGGGAAAGAGAGGAGAAATGTGGAATCAAAGCAACAATAACTGAGGTGCCCAGAGAGCTACCTTACAGCTCATGAGCCTGTGGCAGAGAAGGGCCTTCAAAGCAGAGGGTAATGCTGGGTCAGGGGTGGAGCTCTCACTGAGGGATAGATTGGAAGCTCATCGGTCCTGCTTCCCAGCAGGTCTAGAAATGACCTTCCACTGGGCCAGGGAACAGCACGGGAAAGGCAGGGAGGTGTGGGCAGGCCCAGAAGCAAGCACTGAAGGCCATTTGCCTTGTAAGAGCAAGAGTCTGTAGAGAGGAAGGGTAGTACAGAGAACATGACATGAGCAAGCCAGGACAGAGGGTTAGTACCCGATGAGGAGGTCTTTCTTGAGAAGACAGGAGGCAGAGCACTGGTGGAGCGATTAGGTTGTGGCAAGAAAAGCAAAAGACCCTGAGTCCAAAGTCATCCTTGGCTATATAAAATCCTGCCTCAAAAAAAAAAAAGTATCAATACCTTAATCAAACTCAGAAAATCACTGTTAGGAACAGAAAGCAGAACACAGCATTTTCGTGGGTGGCGTCTGGACACAGGCTTCTCGCAGAACACTAGGGACTGAGCTATGGAGGCCTATAGCACACCTCAGTTGGCTGTCTATCTATCTATCTATCTATCTATCTATCTATCTATCTATCTATCTATCTATCTATCTATCTATCTATCTAAAGATGTGTCCCAGGTTTGCCTTGAACTCACTGTGTAGCTGAGGATGGCCTCCCCCTGCTTCCTGAGCGCTGGCATCACGGGCGTGCACTAGCACACCTGAGTAATGCATTGTCGGGATGAAAGCCAGGACCCTGTGGATGCCAACCCAGCACTCTAACCACTGAGCCACAAGCCCCGTCCTTCCAGCTTGCTTTTTACATCCACTCCAGGAGCTCAGATGTGCCACAAAGGTGCGAGGTGCTATCGGTGGCCCCTAAGCATGCTCACACCATGAGAAGACAGTGTTTGCCTCTCACACAGCAGCCCGAAGAATGCCTTGTGGAAAGGGTGGCCCTGAGTGGCTGGGAGCTGCTTCCCTCAGCCTGAAAAAGAGGATTACAGGCTCTCCTCCACTCTTCAAAAGTTCAGTTTTGATGAAGTATGTGGTGGACCTCTCCCTGGGTCACCCCAGTGAGTTGAGGTCTTGATACCAATGAGATGCCTATTCTGTTGGTGAAATTATAACTTTCCTGACAGAAGAGAAAGAATTCTAAAGTGACTCTTGTGCCCTTCCCTCTAGCTATATTAGATGAGTGAGACAATTGTTCCCAAGAAGTTGGAATGAGTTTGTGTCAGGGGCAGGTTTTGGCTCGTCCACGCAGGTCTGACAGACCACTTTTGGTGGAGAGTCTGGAGCTGAGACCGTGGTCGAGTCAGTGATAGGCAAGAGCACACCGGGATCAGGACTGACTAATTGTGTGCTTCTTGCCCTAAAACAATTTAATTACATTTGTATGTGTGTGTGCATGTGTGTGGAGCTCAGAAAACAGTTTCAGGAGTCAGCACTTTCCTTCTGCCATGTGACACCAGGGCATTGAACGTGGGTCTTCAGACTTGGCATCAGTACCCTTATCCACTAAGCCATCTCTTCCTTAGTTTAGACCTATACTTCACATCAGGACCCCAAAGACAGACTTGGGGAGTCTCTGAACCTCTGTCTTTGTTCTTGTTCCTATGTGGCCACATTGAAAAAAAAACTTAAAATTTTCCCTGCTTTTCTCTATTGTTTTTTAAAATAGGCTGATGGAGTATAAATGGCCAAACCTAACTTATTAGGTCTCTTGGGGCCTAACCAATATTATAGAGTCGGGGAAGGATGATAAACAGCCTAGCTTCTGGCCCACACTGCCTTGTGGGACGTTCCCCAATATCTTCAGGTAACGATAAAAGCTTGAGACACAGTGGATTGGAAAAGGGAAATCTTAAAAACCAGATTCCCTCTGTCTTTGTCCTCCAAAGCTGAACGACTCATGTAGCTGGATGGTTGACAGAGCTCTGTGTGCGGTAAAGAAAAACAGGACAGCAGTTCCAGGACCAGCGTTAGCTGGCAACGCTCAGGAAACTCCCACCTTCCCATGAGACATCAGGCTGATGGCAGAAACCACTACACCTCCTGTTAACCTGCCTGGGCTGTGATTTCATGCGCGTGTCTGCAGACACGGGTACACAGAGGCATGTACACAATCTTGATTTAGAAACACCAGCCAACAGTGGCAGAATAAACTTGCTGCCTCAATCACATACCTACTAAGAGGGCAGTGAACTGTCCAGTGGCCCCAGATCACTTCAGAGCTTCCTAAATGTGGAAGTGTGGGAAACCTCAGTCTCTTCCGTCCTCCCCTCCCCTCTCCTCCTTTTCCCTCTCTCTGTCTTCTTTCTTTTCTCCTCCTGTGTCCTCTCTCCCTTCTGCTCTCTCTGACAGTTTCTTGTTATGCAGCTCCAGTACTCACTATGTAGTCCAGGCGTATGCTGCCACAAGCTCTGTGATTGTCTGTTACCTTGGATCCCTCTTCCCAGCCCTTCCTGGGAGAGGGTATGCGGCTCTGGCTCTGGTCCTCTGTTTGCTGGGAAGGTCCACAGCCCATTGCTCCTCCTCTCTAGGCTGTGCCCTCGGAGCTTCTATCTTGTCCCGGAGTCTTTGTTCTCCAGTCAGGTCTCAGCACTCCCTCCTCCCATATCTCCAGACTCAGCATCTGGGCAGTTGCTGGAAACCTGTTGCCATAATAAACAGGCGTCACAGTCACACAGACTTGGGACCTGAGCGAGCGTGACTTTTGTAAGGGACAACTAGAAGATCTGAGAAGCTATCCAAATCTCTACTACGACGTAGGGAAGGGAAGGGCTGAGTCTAAACAACCTGCTGGACACTCATTTCTTTTCCTTTGCCAGGACCGCGGGATACGCCCCCATGCCCCTTATCTGGTCCAGGCATCAGCAGCAACCTGTGGCAGGCTAGGAAGCAGACAGCCAGCGGAAGACAATGCCACAGGATGTGCTACCTCAGAAAGGATGGTCACACAAGAAATAAACCCCACTCCGTTGATGAAAATCACCCAGGACCACAACTAATTCTATGGCTGCCAGCCGGTCTTGAAATCATTTTTGACTTGCAAAGTCCACTTTAGGAGTGGTTGCACAGCGGGGAGTGGGGAGGAATGGTATGTGTACCTTGTGCAGAGAATGAAACCAACAGGGTGTCTCCCTCCTCTCACCTCCATCAAAAGAGGCGGAGCAGGGAACTGTGGGTTGCTCACACAAGCAACACAAGTTTCAGAACTTTCATCCTATTTTCGACTCTGTTTTCCTTTCGGAGGACTAAGAAGGTGGAGTCTCAACTCTTTGTTTTCAAGGCTGTAAATTTAGGCTTAGGGAAGCAACTTGTGACTATCCCAAAATCTCCAGGGAGCTAGTTACTGAAGGAGCTGTGACAAGGACCCAGGGGGCTTGCTCTGTCCCTCCATGTCTCCAAACAACTGGAAAATGCAACCCAGGTTTCTTGGAAATGCAAGACTCCCTGTGATCTTCCCAAAGAACCCCGAGGCCAGCTCTGCTGTAAATTCCTAGATTGTATGGCTGCTTTATAAGGTACATTTGTTTACTGCAGTCCAGGCTGGCCTCAGTTTACTATTATAACTCAGGAGGACCTTGAACTCCAGATCTTCCTGCCTCTGCTTCGCAAGGTTTGTGATTACAGTGTATGAAATTACTTTAAATTTTTTATTTTTGGCCTTTTTGAGACAAGGTCTTCCTCTGTAGCCTGGTCCTCAGTACAGAACACAGGCCCATCTCTGACTCACGGAAATCCCCCTGCCTCAGCCTCTCAAGTACTGGGATCATAGGTGTGAGTCATCATTCTGAGGTTTGTTTTTCAGCCATTCTGTTGCTCTCTTACTGCTCAAATAAGGATAGATTCTGTTTTTAAAGGGTTGAAAGAGACCAAGATACAACCATTATTTAGCAATTTAAAAATTATTCAAGATTTGAAACCCTATGTCTATAATAAATTTTACCAGAATATGGCTCATCTGGCCTGTTTGCATACCATCCAGGGTGCGTTTGTGTTACCACGAGCAGAACTGAGTAGCTACTGCAGAGAACATATGGTCTGCAGAGCTTAAGAGTCTCATTATTTAGATTTTGTAGAAAATATTCCAGCCTCTTAATTTTATTTGTTTGTTGTTTATATCTTGGTTTTCTGAAACAGGGTCTTTTGATGTAACTCATCATTCTCCTGCCTCAAACCTCCTCTGTGCCATGATACTAGGGGTACACCATAGTGCCTGCCTGGACATTGACTCTGGATCTTGACTTCGTCTTTACCCTTATACTTAAAAGGGTGTGCATGCATGTGCGTGTGCAAACGTTTGTGCATGTGCATGTGTGTGTATATGCGTGTGCCTGCTTTTGTGTGTGTGTGTGTGTGTGTTGGGCATAGGGGTAGGAATAGGGAGATGGGTAGGACTCATTTAACAGTCGTGCTTCCAGCCTGTGAGACACTGAATGAGGCTCCATTCAGCTGAACAGCCCCCTCCCTCCCCTTTGCTGGAGTGTCCTGCTCCACAGGAGGGCTACACAGTACTGAATAAACCTTAGATTGGTTGATTTGCTATTTTTTTAATCAGAGCTGGGTGGGGGTTAGGGGGTTGTGCATTGCCATTTCTTGAAACAAGAAAAGAAAGTAGCAGACTGTCAGACGGGGTAGCAGTTCAAGTACCACCTTAACTTCTAAGATCTCATTCTGTCTATCTATCTATCTATCTATCTATCTATCTATCTATCTATCTATCTATCTATGTGTATGCTCTGGTGTTCTGCCTACACATATGCCTGTGCACTATGTGTGTGCCTAGTGACTGTGGAGGCCAGAAGAGGGCATTGGATCCCATGAAACTAGAATTATGAGTGGCTGTGAGCCACCATGTGGATGCTGGGGATTGAACCTGGGTCCTCTGCAAGAGCAACAGGTGCTCTAACCATTGAGCAATCTCTCCAGGCCCCAAAGATCTCATTTTAAAGTTGCACGTTTCAGGTCTTCCCATCCCTCTTGTGATCATTTCAACCTGATAAACCGTGGTTCTGAGGGCACGTACCCTTGTGACGTCTATTTGTGTTACTCAGATCTGAGCTCTCTGTCTCTTAACCCACTCTACCAGAGTCTACTCCCAAGGCAGCCCACAAAGCATTTTGTGATGAGGGGAAATATCATCACCAAGAAAAACTTGCATCCTTGCACCTCACACAAGATGACAACACAAAGCCCCAGGCCAGCCCTCAATAATACCAGACAAAGATTTAAATAGAGTTGACCCCAATGCAGAACGCAGGCATGTTTGCTTTGTCCCTTTAAGGGACTTGATGTGACAAGCACAGAGCAACCAGAAACAAACAAGCCCATAAACAGGGGGACAATTGTTTGCCCAGCCTCGGCTTCCTTGGCATTAGGCCAACAATCTTTAACGTTTGCTCATTCAATACAAATTGGGTAAACACAGAGAGAAAGCACCAATCTTGAGACACCAATCAGAGAAGGGCAACTTAGTAGGAAATGTTGCTGAAATAGTCCCATGGAATTATAAGACTTCCATTGATATCCGCCCTTGTGACTCTGGTGTGAGCTGAACCCCGCTTAGGCATTTAAGTATGCAGAGAGCTCTGTGGGGGGTGCAGATGAGGAGGTGCGGTCTTTGCTAACTGGCATCTAGGAAGTTGAGTTTGCCTTTCAGAAACCGGCAACAACTCCTTCAGGTTCCACGTGGCAATTTCACACACTGATACCCTCACAATGAAAGAAAAGTAATATTTAAGTGATTTTTTTTTCTCCTTCTAATTTTGGCAGTACGTGGGCACAAAGCGCTGAGACTTTTTGAATTACTGGTGTGATTTTCCCATGCTGGCCTTCACCATATTGTTTGACGCTCTAGGGGAATTTGGCTGCTTAAGGAACTGGGGGGGGGGGGAGGGGGGGGGGAATAAAAAAAAAAAGTTCCCAAAAAGACTTTATTTTTTTTTTTTTTTTTTTTTTAATTCTTGTGCTTGGAATGTGCCTGAAAGAACACTGGGCCAGCTGGTGACATTCTTGTCCCAGCGCTGCTGCTCTGGACTGCAGACTAGCCTCTTGGGAGTCATCTAGGGTGGGAGGGAGTAATGGCTCCTCCCTCTTCAGATGAGTGCGCTGTCCCAGAGAGGCTGGGGAACCACCAGCTCTTGGAACTCTGATTCTCAAAGCTAGACCTGTCACAACTGTTCTGGAATCAACTCTGATGTTCGCCGTAGCGCCGATTCTCAGCAACATAAACAGACAGATTAAATCTATGTTTGTAATTCCTTTGTGCTGGCAATTAAACCCAAGGCCTCATCGACCCTTCAGATAGACCCACAGCACCAGACCTGGCTTCTCTAACACATATTCTGATAATTCTGATACAAATGGATGCCTGGCAGAAAATAACTCAGCCTTCAGAAAGAGACATCTACTTTGACCTTGGGAAATTAGTTCATTTTCCCCTTTCAGTTATTCTGTGAGATAGGAGATCATAGGCTGGTAAAGTAATCATTATACAAGTCTGAGGATATCCAGAACTCACATAAAAGTTGGGTATGGCGTCCTGCATCTATGACCCCAATGCTTGGTGGTGGCCAGACAAGCAGGTCCCTGGGGCTCACTGTTTAGCGCCCTCAACCTTCCCACCCCCACTCCAGCCAATCAGTGAGATCCAGTTTCAATGACTCGTCCTGTCATAAAAAAATCAAGGTAGAAAGCCATTGAGAAAGTCATACAACATTGACACTGTCATGGTTTGAATATGCTTGGCCCAGGGAGTGGCACTATTTGGAGGTGTGGCCCTGTTGGAGTACGTGTGTCACTGTGGGCATGGGCTTTTATACCTCAGTTCTAGCTCCCTGGAAGTGGGTCTTCTCTTAGAGGCCTGCAGGTGAAGATGTAGATCTCTCAGCTCCTCCTGCACCATGCCTGCCTGGATACTGCCATGCTCCCACCTTGATGATACTGGACGGAACCTCTGAACCTGTAAGGCAGCCCCAATTAAATGTTGTCCTTATAAGAGTTGCCTTGGTCACGGTGTCTGTTCACAGCAGTCCTAACTAACTAAGACAGAAGTTGGTACCAGGAGTGCCCTTGAAGAAAATCTTCTCTCCAGCAGTCATAGAACTTGAGTTGCAGAAAATGAAACTGAAGCCCTCATTATAAAGTCGGCTGAATTACAGCAAAATTTCAAGTCTCAGCCTCAGAGGGCGTCAGTATTTAAAGTAAGGGCATTAATTGGCACAGAATGGGACCCTGTAATTTGGGATGGGGATGTGTGGGAGGACTCTATTGAAGCTGAGAACGTTGAATCCTCAGATTCTCAAGGGTTTACCTCACCTGAGGAAGTAGTACCCGCAGCCCCACTCTGAAATAATGCCTCTTTCACATGAAGAAATTAATCCTTTAGAGCTGATAAACCAGCATTGATTTTCTCTGAAGGAAATACCAGGCAAGACAATACTGATGTTCCTCAAGGCCCACCAATAGTTTCTTCTAGACCTAGAACTAGACTCAAGGCAAAGCAGGAACCTAGAGGAGAGGTAGAAAGTGTGGTCCATGAGGAAATGCTTACACTACTAAGGTGCTTAATGAGTCTGCTAATTCATTCAAGCAGACGTCTGGAGAATATGTGTGGGA